TTGGAAACGTTGAAATGGGAAGTCCTACTCCACTCGCCGTATTTTCCAAACGTTGCTCCCTCTGACTATCACTTGTTTTGATCAATGGCACGCGGCCTGGCTGACCAGCACTTCCGGTCTTATGAAGAAGTAAAAAATTGGATCGATTCGTGAATCGCCTCAAAAGATGATCAGTTTTTTCGACGCGGGATTCGTACGCTGCCCGAAAGATGAGAGAAAGTAGTAGCTAGCGATGGACAATACTTGGAATCATAAATGTATAACCAGTTTTTTACAATAAAGTCTCGAATTTCGGAAAAAAAAACGACGGAAGCTAAGTTGTACACCTAATATTATTATTATTTTTGTATATCAATAATATAATTTTCAATCAATTCCTCAAGTATAGTTACAACATATAGTTGCAAAATATTGTAGTTTTTATTCAATATATATTCAATATTGAAGCTGTGTCTGGTTATCAATGTTGAAATGTTATGAAAAATCAACATAAATTTCATGCAGAAGAACATCCGCATTTCTATCTTCAATGTTGTATCAATGTCTCATCAATATTCTTTCAATGTTTTGTGCTGTATGGGTATTATTTAGCATGTTTATCATTGTTGTGTTAGCATTGGTCCATACGGATGTTTGGGAGATGCAAGGCAAAAATTTATATTTATATACATATATATTTGTGTTTATGTGTCTCATGTACTTGTATTATAATAAATATAGATATTTTCATTACAATAACCCTTATAGAAATATCATACTAAGAATCATTGATAATTACTTATTTTCAGTATTAAAAATACTGGATAATAAGTAATTATCAATGATTCTTAGTATGATATTTCTATAAGGGAAGTATGGTACTTTTTTAAATTTGTAATAATTTTTTTAAAGACACACATATCTAATTAAATAGACTATCTTTATAAATAATATTAAATTTCATATATCTTTTAATCTACAAGCAAATATTACATGCTAATTAACGATTGCTCTAAATGCAATATTACATACAAATTAACAATCGTATGAATTAATCTTGAAACATAATGAAGAAATCAGATTTCGATATGATTTCAGTAATGTTCGATATATTTCAGTAATTTTCATCGACATTTCAATGAGAGAATTTTCATATTCTAACATGTAGAAAAATAAAAAAATTACATTTTAATATATTAGTTAATTATCATCAATTATCAACGAAATTCAGCACGATTTCGTTATTTAGTCAAAACTTTTCATGAAGTTTTTCATTATTTAATAAATGAGATACATTAAGTACTTATTTACAATTTATTATAAATTGTAAATACAATTTATTATAAATTGTAATTCTTTCATCAATTTCAGTGCAATTCAGCAAAATTTTCAAAATTATTGAGAAATGTTATTACGAATTTTTTTTCATCAATACTTCAACAAAGTTTCAATACAATTTACTCAGTTTTCATTATAATTCAGTAAATTTCATTAAATATTTTATTAAATATTTCAATATTTTTCATTACTTTTCATCAATATTCATTAAAAATTCATTGTTTTTCCACACTTTTCACTACAATTCATGATAAAAATGATGATTTATGATGAAATATTTTCGGCAACTCTCAGTAACTATTTTTAGTAACTTTCATCTCTCATTTCGACGATTTCATTATTTTCTCTTATAGAAATATCATACTAAGAATCATTGATAATTACTTATTTTCAGTATTAAAAATATTGGATAATAAGTAATTATCAATGATTCTTAGTATGATATTTCTATAAGGGTTTTCAGCAAATTTTTTCCATCAGGGCATTCATACATCAAAGTATTCGTACATATCAAGAAAAAAAGTTCGATTTTTGTAGAAAAGTGTAATTATTTCTTTTTGATGCAAACAATTAATTTGCATCACACATTTTTTCCATGAGCACCACCTTTGTAACAAATATATGTCATAAATAAAACACATTTATTTTCTATGTGTATGCAAGCTTATCGATTTTTCTATTGGCAGTGTGCATTAATTTTAAAGGATTTTCAAGAGATGGCGTAACTAGTACTATATCTCATGGGGTCATATTGTTGCTACCTTCATGTCAAAGCACCATCATGTGGCTTTAGTTTTCAGTATGTGTCATTTTGCCGAAATGTAAACAACATTGTTTTTTTGAGCATTGAATATGTCGAATTTTCAACAAAACGCAATTTGCGGTAAGCTTTGCTTTTTTGCTTCCATTTGAAGAGAAGTGCTGCTGAAAGTCAATGAATGCTGTCGGAAGCTTATGGTGATTATACTATATTGATTTCAACATGTGAGTACTGGTTTCGACGCTATAAAAAAGGTGATTTTGACACGGAAAACAAGGAACATCCAGGCCAGTCGAAAAAGTTTGAAGATGAGGAAGTGGAAGCTTTACTTGATCAAGACTCGAGTCAAACGCAAGAAGAACTTGCAGAATCATTAAATATTGATCGATCAACGATTTCCAGATGTTTGAAGGCCATTGGAATGATTGAAAAGCAAGGAAATTAGGTGCCGTATGAGTTGAAACCGAAGACGTCGAAAGGCGCAAAATGACCTGTGAATTGTTGCTTCAAAGACACAGAAGAAAAAGTTTTTTGTATCGTATTGTGACGGGTAATGAAAAATGGATACTCTACGATGACTCGAAGCGCAAAAAATCATGGTGCAGGTCAGGCGAACCATTAACATCGACGACAAAGTCGAATATTCATGGCGCCAAACTCATGCTCTGTATTTGATGGGATTAGCTGGGTGAAATGTATTATGCTTTAACCCAACGAAATTATCACTGGGGAACGCTATCAACAACAATTTATGCAATTGAGCCGAGCATTGAAGCAAAAATTGTCAGATTACGCGAAAAGACACGACAAAGTGATTTTCCAGCACGACAACGTTCGGCCACATGTTGCAAAACCGGTCAAGGAAACGTTAGAAGTGCTTAACTGGAGTGTCCTACCACACTTGCCGTATTCTCCAGATATTGCTCCTTCCGATTACCACTTATCTCGATCAATGACTCATGGCCTGTCTGAGCAGCGCTTTCATTTTTATGAGGATACCAAACAATGGGTCGATTCGTGGATAACCTCAAAAGATATGTCGTTCTTTCGAAGTGGAATCCATCTATTACCAGAAAGATGGGAAAAAGTAGTAGCTAGCGATGGACAATATTTTGAATGTTCAATTTGTAACAATTTTTTCACAATAAAGTCGTATTTTTACCAAAAAATCCCTTAAAATTAATGCACACTCCAAATAAGACGTTTATATCGGTCGATAAAGTTGTGTTGTGTCTAAAGCAACAGATCATAATCGAGAGGTGTCCAAGTTCGGGAGTGGTGCACTTGGACACGGAGCAAATGGACACGTTGCAATTAGACACAAAATTTTGCCCACGGTGCAATTGGTCACGATGAATTTGGACACAGTGCATTTGGACACGAGAAAAATGTGCACAGTTCATTTGGACACCGAAAATTGCGCACTGCTCATTTGGACACGAAAAGTTGCATACCGCTAACCGAAAGTTGTAATGAGCGGTACATCTTTCGGTGTCCAAGTGAGCGATATGCAACTTTTCGTGTCCAAATGAGCGGTGTGCAACTTTTCGTGTCCAAATGAACGGTGTGCAACTTTTCGTGTCCAAATGACCGGTGTACAACTTTCGATGTCCAAATGAGCGATGTCCAACTTTTCGTGTCCAAATGAGCGGTGCGCAATTTTCGGTGTCCAAATAAGCGGTGTGCAACTTTTCGTGTCCAAATGAGCGGTATGCAACTTTTCGTGTCCAAATGAGCGGTGTGCAACTTTTCGTGTCCAAATGAGCGGTGTGCAACTTTTCGTGTCCAAATGACCGGTGTGCAACTTTCGGTGTCCAAATGAGCGGTGCGCATTTTTCTCGTGTCCAAATGCACTGTGTCCAAATTTATCGTGTCCAATTGCACCGTGTCCAATTGAACCGTGGGCACAATTTTGTGTCTAATTGCAACGTGTCCATTTGCTCCGTGTCCAATTGTACCATGTCCAAGTGAGTGCCACTCTCCAAGTTCGAGTCCCATCAGTGCTAGTGAGAATTCTTAAATGTGATGTAACATTGGAATCAAGTAATCTAAAATTTTCAACTGATATCAGCAAACGCTGTGACATTTACGAATAGTTTCTGTTAGAAAATTGAACCGAATAAGGACACTAAAAATAATGTCCAGTGTAGATCCTTTTTTTAATATTCCAAGAACGTCCAAAATAGGTAAAAACGAGCATCCTATGAACGTCCACCGGACGTCTGTTGGGCTTTATTTGGACGTCTTATGGATTAATATTCAAACTTGAACATCCACTGGACATCCATAAGACGTCTATGTGCTATATGGGTTATCATTGTTGATTTTGCAATTACCACCAACAATTAATAAAAATCTCATATTGCTCACCAATAGAATAATAAATGAATGTTGAAATTGTTGGGGGGTCGGATTTGTATTACAAACAGCATGACTTCTTATCTGCTCAAAGAAATTTTCAATACTACCTTGATTAAGGTAGTACTGGACAAACTGAAAAAGTCAAACGAGTGTATAAACCCAACCTAGTTAACATAGCATTTAGAAGTGGCAACGTCGCAATGAAATAAGGGAGAGAGATATAGGAGTGAAAGAGACGGATATGTGAATAATACAGCTGCTTCTTATATACACGCTGTCGTTGCCGAGCATATACTTAGTCTATTATTTGTCATTTGTGTAATAATACTCAAAAAAATTCATGAAAAATGTCAAATTAAAAATTATTTCATTGGAAAGGAAAAAGAGTAACGGAAAGCACGTACAAAAAAGACTCAAACAGGTTGAATTAGCGAAAAAGTTAAAAGGTTATAGTGGAAAGTTCGAGTCTTCTAACCTTAATCCAGTTGTAAACAAAAATACTAATTCACCTGATGTCATCGAGGGTCGTCGAATTGTCAATGTTAAAACATTGGCAAAAAATATGTATTGTATAGTTTGTGAATCTGTATTGGTTTTGGAAGACATCGAATTTGAAAAACATTTTGGTCTGGCTTCAATTTTCTATATAAAGTGCCGACAATGTAAACAGATAACTGGAGTCCCTACCGATATAAAACACCAAGTTTCAAATCAAAGCAGTCATTTCGACTGTAATACCAAAGCTGTAATTGGTAAGTGTCAATAGTTTTTAAATTGCTTATATTTTTGTAAAAATAAAAATGTAATAGGCGACTCTAATATTGATATGCTATTTGTAGGCGTTATGAATAGTGGTATTGGAAATTCACATTTAAACAAGGTGTTAACTGCAATGAATATCCCAGAAATTTGTTGGAAAACTTATCAAAGTTATCAAGGGTGCCGAAGACATAGCTAAAGAAAGTTGTTTAGCTGCTGTTCAAGAAGAAAGACGTTTAACAATTGAAAATGCGGATCAGTTAAAAAAATTGTTGTAAGTAACCGAATAGCGCCAGAATAGAAAGATAGATAAATAAATTTATCATAGAATCAGGAAAAACTTTAAATAATGTATTGTAATTATGTAATGATTTTTTAAAAATGATTTTAAAACGGATCTTTATTTATTTTGAATCAATTTTGTTACAATTCATTTGTAACAATAAATTTTATTTCATTATTATTGGGAGTGTGAATAAGTTCTCGCAGTTTTTTGTAAAAATAAATCCTTTATTAAAAAAAAATAATAAAAAAACAAGTCAATTAAAGTATTGCCCATCGCTGGAGACTACTTTTTCCCATCTTTCTTGCAGCATTTGAATTCCATGTCGAAAAAACAACATTTCTTTTGCGGCTATCCACGAATCGATCCATCTTTTCGTTTCTTCATACGAAGTGAAGTGCTGCTCAGCCAGGCCGTTAGTCATCGATCGAAATAAATAGTAATCAGAAGGCGCAATGTCTGGAGATTACGGCGGGTGGGATAGGACTTCCCATTTCAGCGTTTCCAGGTATGTTTTGACTGGTGACGCGACATGCGGCTGAGCGTTATCATGCAGCAAAATCACCTTATCGTGTCTTTGTTCATATTGCGGCCGTTTTTCTTTCAATGCTCGGCTCAAACGCATCAATTGTCGTCGATAGAGATCTCCTGTGATGGTTTGGTTGGGTTGGAGCAGCTCGTAATACACTACCCCCAGCTAATCCCACCAAATGCAGAGCATGAGCTTGGAACCGTGGATATTCCGCTTTGGCGTTGATGCTACTGCTTCGCCGGGCTTAACCCACGATTTTTTAACGTTTGGGATTACTGTAGTATATCCACTTTTCATCACCAGTCACAATACGTCTCTCGGCTTCAGTTCGTATGGCACCCAAGATCCTTCCTTTTGTATCATTCCTAATGCTGTCAGACGTTTCGAAACTGTTGTTCGATCAACTCCTAATGATTTTGCAACATCGGATTGCGTCTGACATGGATCTTCAGCAAGTAATGTTTCCAATTCTTCGTTTTGAAACTTTTTTGGTGCACCACTGCGTTCTCTATCTTGAACATCAAAATCACCATTTTTAAATCGGTTAAACCAATCTCTGCATGTTCTTTCCGTCAGAGCATGATCACCATAGGTTTCTACAAGAATTCTGTGTGCTTTAGCTGCAGATTTCTTCTGAATAAAGTAGTGCAGTAAAATTCCCCACAAAAACGGTTTATTTAGCACGAAATTTGACATGTTTTATGCTACGAAAAGAAAATGTTCTTTATAGGTTAATGGAAAGACACGCACTGATTTTAAACATAGGTTATAGAACTTCAATATAGATGCGTCATCATCTTGAATTATACATTCAAAATTTTTATACCGCCATCTGATGGTGAAACGGCGAGAACTTATTCACACTCCCAATAGATGCAAATCAAATAATAATTTTTATGTATATTTTTATACAAATGATATTTTACATAAGTTCCTTGATTTACATCTTGGAAATTGCATAATTACGTAAATCTTTTATTTTTTAACATGAAATTGTATATGCATAAATATTTTTATTTTTACTTTTATTTTTTACAAATACTTTTTGTATAAGTACTTTTTGTACAAGTATTTTTTGAAAGTGTATAAATATGTAGCACTTTTACTTAAGATAAAATTGTATATAGAAAAACATTTTTATTTCTATTATTTTACTAAAATGATATTAAATTAAATTTTTAATAAGTGATTCTTTGTAACAAAAACATTTGTTTTATAGATTAAAAATTATTCAACTATCATGATTTTTTAATATGAATAAATGCCAAAAAAATGAATAGAAACTTGTAATTTTATTTTTTACTACCTATTCCAGACCTCCTAATCAAGATATGTCCTTTGTATTTCCTTCTGTGAGTGAAATTGTTATTAAAAATAAGAATATATCAGATGATATGATTGTGCGCATAGCAGGCTTTTTTTACTTTGGGTGGTTCACCAGAGGTACAGGAAGAACGTACGATAACCTCTCTGGCACAGCTGCTTATATTGGATATTTTAGTAAGAAAGTTATAGTCTACATAACGTTGAACAGAAAATGTTACAAGTGTGATCGTCACGACTCGCCTGAAGATCATGATTGCCGCTTGAACTTTGTGGGTAGCGCTAAGGCAATGGAACCTCATGCAGCAGCACTTCTGACAAATCATCCTATTCTATCAGCATGCAACCTTGAAGTTGGAATATTTATTGCTGATAATGATAGCAGTGCCATTTGTGCTGCAAGAGCAGCTACTAGTCATGAAATTATAAAACAATCTGATAAAAATCATACGTCAAAAGGACTTGTCAGTGAACTATATAAAATAAGTAAAAGTCATAAAGAATTATCAGGTACAGCTATTCAGTATCTAAAAAAATGTTTCAACTACTGCTTGTCACAGATTGAAGGGAATGAAGTCGCTATGGCACGAGCCATTGAAAATATTCCCTATCACGCTTTTAACCATCACAACGATTGTGGAATATAGTGCAAATATAAATCAAATCCTGAAACTTACAAACATGCAAATATTGATGAGGGTTTCAAAAGTGAAAATTTATTTGAAGCTTTAAAATCTATTTTTAATAATCTAGCGCTTAAAACCTGTCAATTTGTTAGTGGAGCTTCAAGCAATCCAAATGAGAGCTTGAATGCTATGATTGTCAATAAAGCACCAAAATCAAGATTATATAATAAAACAGCTGTTGGTGATGGAAGAGTTGCATTAGCAATAAGTAAAAAGAATAAAGGAGAAAAACACGTAATGCAATTATATCAGAACCTCAACTTATTTCCTGGAGGCCACACTATGGCCACACTATGCAATATTGCAAGAGAAGAGACTTTATTTCTCAAAAGAGATATGCCCAATCTGTAACACGTGCTGCAAAACTAAAACGAATTTTATTAAAAAAAAGTCAAGACTGCTTTAAAAAATAAAAATGAAGCCAAAGAAGGTACTATGTATGAGAGTAATATAGGATTAATTAGTTCTCTGTATGATTATATTCCGGTTGTAAAGATAGATGATAGAAGAGAACCAATTTCGGTATTATTTGATCTAGAAACAGGTAGTTTCTCCAAGACTTCGGATATTTTACAGATCGCTGCAAAGTATGAACAATATGAATTTTCAGTTTATATAAAGCCAACACAAAGAATTTCGGAAGAATCCAGTAATGTGCATGGTTTGCGTTTGTTTTATGGTAAACTTGAACTTCATGGCAAACCTGTTACTACTGTCACTTTATCAGAAGTATTATTCGGATTCTACCAATTTTTATGCTTTTCTAAAAGAAAATGCATTTTAATAGCCCATAATTGTTCATTTGACTACCCTCGATTAATGAATGCAATAGAAAAAGTTTTTATGAAAGAACATTTCCGTGAAATTATTCTTGGATATGTTGATTTACTTCCACTAATAAAAAACAAAACTGGAAAGAAACAAAAGGAGATAACAAGTTAGAAAATCTTGCTAAAGAATTTAATATAAACTGTGATAAAACTCACGACGCATTTCATGACGTTGTTATGCTAAGTGAAGTATTAAACAAATTAAATATTACAAACGTTGATATACTTAGTTCTGTGTTAAAGTGGGACGATGCATGTAATAAAATCTTATTTTTGCAGAATTTACCTTTTGCTATGAAAGGATTAAATCCACTAAAATCCTATGTAGCAGCAGGTTGTAGAAAAAATATGGTCGCTGCAAATGTGACTTTTGAAATGTTTAAAGAAGCATACAAACAAAATAAATTTGATGGTTTATTAAATGTTTTGGGCAAAGATGAAAATAGTATTGTTAAAGTTACTAAAAATAAAAAAGTAATATATACAATTGTTCGTTTTTTTGCCAACAAAGAGTCTATAAAATAAATTAATAATTGATTCTTAGAGTAGTTAATATATAGAACATATTGAAAATATCGTTAAGTTACAATTTTATTGTTTATAATTATAATAAATTAAATTTTTTATTATTATAAATTGTTTTGTATGCATGGATAAAACATTTTTCATATTTTTTTTTGTGACATTGTTATGAAACCTACCTTCTCAGATTCCATTTGTTTTTAAATATTGCGCGTATTCTGTCTTGTTAGCGACGTTGCCACATTTCATAATCTGCGATGTAAAACATATATTTTGCATATTTATTTATTAATTTATTACTATAACAAGATCCAAATCTATTTTGTTAAGCATTTAACATGTTTCTTATAAATAAAGCTATGTTCTCTTCATTTTTTATTAAAATCTGAACGGTATTTTCTGAAATATTGGAGATAATCGGTGGCTTCCTATAAGA